AAAAAATGCTTAAGTGAAAGGATTTTTTTAAACTTGGTTTACCTGAACTGAGAACACAAACAAGGCCAACGTGTGACATATGGGAAAGGCCACTGGAATCAGCCAGACTTGGAATAAAACCTTTTAGGTCAGTGTGTACAAGTTATTTTACCTATCTAAATCTCAAAAAGGAAATAAAAACTATAAATTATCTCCAAACCCCTCAATAATGCCAGAAGACAGCTATTCCTAGTGCAGTGCCTGGGACATTGAAGGTGCTCAATAAATGGTAGTAGTGTCAATCATAATAACTGGTTTTAAAAATAGAAAACAACAGTTATAAGCATCATTGTATATGTGTGAGAGCTCAAGATAGGAAAGACTCGTCGCTGGAAAATGTGAACTGCTTAATAAGACTAATGACAACGTCTTCAACAGGCTTTTCTTTGGTTAAATGTATACTATTTGAAACAAACCAGTACATGTGGGGGAGCCCCCTCAACTTACTGTGTAGTTCACTGTGTACAAACTGGCAGGCACCTAATAAGGAAGGAAACAGCATGTGCATATACCAGTTAGCAACCAACGGAATACAAAGGTATGCATTTCTTTCCAGCAGGATTAGTAAAATTTATGTAGCAGCAACAATCCATTAAGAGGAGATGGCTGCAGTCTAATATTAAACAAGTTTTATTACACAACTTTGAAGGTAGTGCATTTTTGGACTTCAGTTCTAGCTGCATTTATTGTTACAGTGAAATTGAAAGAGTTAGCAATTAAAATAAACTTCATACCTGAGTAGCTTTTGCAGGCTTTGTAAAACAGTGGAAGAATTCTCTTACGTCTTTGGAGCACCACATATTTCCTTATATTGCATAGGGGAAGCATGAGCTCATTAGTATGAGCTATACTGCATACCATTTCATTTTCAGATATGTTTTCATGTGTTAAACCAATCCAATAAGCCCTCCAGTACCATTTTCAGAAGAGACTGTAGCATGGTGAAAGAGCCTGGGTTCAGGAATTAGGCCTGGTTAGAAGCTCAGCCTCACCACTTATTCTGTACAACCTTGGGCAAGGGACTTAATCTCTCTCAGCCTCAACTCGTTAGTTGTAAAACAGTGACCAATACTCATATGCCAATCTTGAAACATGATGAGGATTTTATTTTATACTTTACTATTTTATTTATATATCTTATATCTACAACATCATTAATATTATGCTATACTAACTAATAAGTAGACATAACATTAATAATATATTTCATGAGCACCCATAATGTGCCAGGCATGGTGCTAACACTTAATGTATCATAGGATACCTGGCACAGAGCAGGCACTCAATTGGTAGCTATTAAAAATCATAACCTTATTCCAAGTAAGTGTTTCATGTTCTAGATAATATTTCATGCCCTATGTATCCAAAGTGACTGGCAAGCTTATATAAAATAGACCTTCCCTAATTTAGAGCACAAGGAAATGGTGCTCCCCACCAAACTGAATACCAGCTAAATAATTAGAAGGAAACTTAATGAATCCTCCTTAAAGAAGGAACCCTACTATCTATAGATTTTACATGCATGTTCTTATCCTGAGCTAAGTCAGGCTAACTATTCTCCCTCTTATTCAGCATTACTAATATACTGTATGTACCAAATTGGTTTTATGACATTGGGCAAAGGAAATAACTATCTATTGCCATGTGTTAGGCACTGTGCTAAGAGTGCCATGTATACTATCTTTAATCCTCACACTTGCTCTGCAAGGTGTGAGGTGTTTTTTTTGTTTGTTTTTTTTTTATAGTTGACAAAATGAAGTCATGGTAAGTTAAGTAATCAGCAAGGACACACAGATAGTAAAAGTGAAGCTGGGGGTCTTCCCTAGTGGTGCAGTGGTTGGGAGTCCACCTGCTAATGCAGGGGACACGGGTTCGAGCCCTGGTCCGGGAAGATCCCACATGCCACGGAGCAACTAAGCCCATGTGCCACAACTACGGAAGCCTGCACGCCTAGACCCCGTGCTCCGCAACAAGAGAAGCCACCGCAATGAGAAGCCCACGCACCACAGGGAAGTGTGGCCCCTGCTAGCCGCAACTGGAGAAGGCCCACGTGCAGCAACAAAGACCCAACTCAGTCAAAAATCAATCAATCAATTTATTTTTAAAAAAGTGAAGCTGGGAATGGAACCCAGGTTTGTATGGTTCCAGAGCCCACACACTGTTAAAAAATGACCAGGCTAGCTCTATAATTATCTTTGTTATTAACATGACTTATGTCTCCTGCATTTGGACCCAGACAAGTTAAGCAATTATACTTTTGAAGAAAGTTAAAGGGTAAAATATAATAATTTTAAGTATCTACTTACAAACAAGTAAAGTATCCTACTTTCTTTTTTTTTTTTTGTATCCTTTCTTGCAACAAATAATTAATTCTGAAAAAGAGTCATTAAAATGAGAGTTCTATCTGCCAGTCACAAATACCAGACCAAGAGAGGCTACAGGACCTTGTAAATTCATCTAATTTCTTATAACACACACTGCTTTTTCCTGAACTGTAAAGCACAATAATTTGAAGGAGGACTGACAGACATCAGTGAAATAAGTAAATTAAATATTTGTAATAATATAACTTCATTAATAGAAGGCAGCATAATACAGCCAGTTTTAGGACTGAATTCCTATTACTCCACTACTTCCTGGCTATGTGACCTTGGGCAAGTCACTGAACCTTTCAGAGTCTCGATTCCCTCAATTGTAAAACCCAACTTTGCAGGGTGAGAATTGGAGATAATGGAGGTAAATCTCCCATCACACTGGCTAACAGAGAGTAGACAGTTAATCAATTTTAAGGCCAGGACACACAGGGAGCCAGATGATTTAGAGTTCCTGGGGAGAAGAGCTTTACTGAATAAATAAAAAACACTTAGATATCACATCAATTGTTAGAAAGTAGTGGATATTATAAAAATACCTAGAGGTTCCAGAAACGTTTATCCTTTTGAATTGTTTATTCTCGCAGCATATGTATTCAAATAACTACAAATTTGCTAGGAAAATCTCAGAAAAAACAAAACAACCAACACATCCGAACACTAGAAAGATACAAAATAAGTCTCTGCCCAATTCCAGGACAAATCAATATTAGTTTCCTCATACAATCCTCTTACTTATGAGAGGTTTATAAGAAGAGAAAAAAATAATGTATCCAGGAGCAGTACACATGGATTTGAAAGTCTGGAAGTCAGAATTCCTCATTTCTCTCTCTTGACTGCTATATTTGTCTCTGACTGAAAATTTGATAATCCCCTCTCCCACACTTTTTCTTGAAAACTGATAATTCTCAAGCAATGTAAAATCCAGCAGTAAACAAACATACAGGCAGTGACAGCATTTAGAACTTCAGAATTTCAAAAGCCTGAAAGCACTTGCCAATAAGGAACATCCTAAACCTGTCACTTTGTAGTTTGAGAGAGCAAAGAGGGCTAGCCACACAGTTAAGCATACAGCATAGGGAAGATGAAGGAAAAGCAAGGGCAAAAAGACTAGCAAAAGCTCTCATAAAGAAAGGCGGGGGAGGGAGGATGATATACCCAAATTATATATTTGGAAGGGTGGGGGAGTCACCACGCAATTTAGGATGTTGAGTCAACAGTTCTTTAGAAGCTGCAAAACAACTCGATTAGTGGAATGGAATTAAAGGAAAGGCAGCACTTGAGGGTGGACAAGGAGGGGAGGAAGGGTCACTCTGTCCATAAGTTGTGATCCCCCTACTAAGGGCAGTCTCATTTCTTTCCCACTCCACTTATTCCCTCTGTCTTCTGCTGCACTGAATGGTAAGTTCTCTGAATGCAGCAACCTAACTGCTTTTTCTCTAAGCCATTCCAGTCCCAGTGTGAGCGCCTTGTACAGTTACTCAACACAGGCGGAAAGCCCTCCCTAAGCGTCTCCCAACTCCTTGATGTATTTCATACTACGGTGGAATTGTCTACTTGTTTGACTCCAGGAACAGACTGCAGGGTCCCAGCCCAGAGAGGCGCTCAGGCAACAGGGGTTAAGAGTTAACATTTTGTGGGCTGGCGTATCTGCAACTGCCCCCCCTCCCCCCGCCGTCCCTGGAAGGTGAGGACCCCGCATTAATCATCTGGATACTCCTCCCCCTCCGAGTGTTCGTCTCCCCTGCTGCCCCGCAAGGCCCCAGAGGAAAGGGGTCGTGTCTTGCTTATTTTTGTGTCCCCAGCCTATTACAGGGTAGGTGCGGCACAAACTTCCGGTAATTACAGCAGAAGCGCGGTGCGGGTAAGATTAGGGGAAGAAAACAGGAGTTACACAGATGGGAGACAGCGGTTGAAGGGTGGATTCAACAGTCAGGCTTCCAGTGCCGACAGAGGTACGGGAGAGCGGAGAGATGGGAGGCCACGGAAGGGTTGTAGCCCGGTTTGGACGGGCCCTACCTTGGGGTAGGTGTGCAAGGGGTAGGTCAACTGACAGGCCCGGTGACAAGACGCCGTATCACCCAAGACCGAGTCAAAAGCTTCAGCCGAAGCGGTCCCCGAGCCTCCGGTCAGGGCCATAGTCAGCAGCAGCAGCAGCGGCGAGAGCCCCAGTTGGGCCCTGACCCAGAGGCTCCCCTTCGCCGCCGCCATCTTGTTTGCCTCTGTCACAGCACCTCAGCTTGTTGCTGTTTTCTTTTCAGGTTTCCTCCTCCTTCCGGGACCAGCCCCTTCCCAGTCCCGCTGGCCGCTGCTTCCGCCTTTGCCGTCCTCTCAGCTCCGCCCTGACCCGCCCGAAACTGCCGCCTCTCGCCCCACCTCTAGGTCTACGAACTTCTAGATTGGCGAGAGGAAGTGGGTCCAAACATCGCGAGTACTAGAGCGAAGCGACTCCTTAGCTTCGCGAGGCACGCTGGGGCATGTGGTTCTCCATAGGCGGGAGGCGCACGGTGGGTTGGGAAAGTGGGTCTCGGAGAACTACAGCCGCCCTAGGTGCGCCCGAGCCCGCCCCTTCGCGGTGTATTCTGGGGAATGTGGTTTGGTTCACACCCACCTCCTCCACCCTCCTGACTGGCGTCGGTGTTCTTCCGGCTGGCTGAGCCTCTAGCGAGAAACTGCAGCAGTGGAAGGAAGCGTCGTTTAGTTCTGACCCCCGAGGTCTAGGCTTGGGCCCTCAGAGGGTGCGTTCTGGAGAGGCCCAGCTGCTGACAGGGCTGCTTTTCCTGGTGGGTCTCATCTCACATGACATCGTTAGGATTCCCCTTCCTGGGCTCCTGAGTGCTGAGGGCAGAGGAAGGTGGTGGTTCCCTTTGCTCTGGGATCAGAGCAGGACAGTCGTGGTTAGGGTCCTTTGACCACGGAGTAGTTCCTGGAGATGACTGGTTGCTGAGAGGACCATGCTGAGATCTGGAGGAGGTTGTTGGTTATTGGTTACTAGGGGAACCCTTGGGGTTGTGGCTATGGTGCGGTAATTAAGACAGCTTCATTGAACCCGGGGGAACTCTAACCCTGCCACAACCCAACCTAAGTTGGAAGAGGCTTTAGAAGTCACCAGGTTCAACGCCTGGCCCAGTATTGGAAGCCCCTCTACAGTGTGCACTTCTGAAAGCTAGACACCTCCTAATTCAGGAAGTAGACCCATCATTGTATACAGTTTTCAGTTTTTAGGAAGATGTTTCTTTCTCAGGAGGAAATCTTCCTGTGAATTTCACCCAAGAGTCCTAATAATTCAGGAATGCTTCCAGAGTGTGTAGAACCCAATTGTGTGACTTTAGGGAACACACATCACAGAAGCTTTGATGACGTTTTAGAACCTGCCCTCTTTCTTGAGCAGAACACGGTGCAAACACGTGAAGGTAGTTGGAGTCCCCTAGCAATGGATAAATTCGTCCTTCGAACACCCAGAATCCAGAATAGTCCTCAGAAGAAAGCTCCTGGAGGAAAGATTTACAAGCAGGCCACGATTGAATCTCTGAAGGTGAGAGGGGATCTGGGAGTGGAGAAAATGTGCAAAGGACTGTGATAGCAGGAGGTCTGGAGGAATTCTACTATGGAAGACCTATGAATTACCTATTTCTGTGCGTCCTCCCCAGAGTGTTCCTGACCACTCCAGGTTTGTTTCCGTCATACCCTGTTTATCAATTCCTGCTCTATGTTACACTCTTCTAATTACTTTGGCTTTGTGGTATGTTTTGCTAGCTGGTAGGATAAGCCCCCTAAGTTATTCTTTTGCAAAATTTTCTTGTCTATTAAATGGAATGTTAAAGTACCAAATATGATTTTGTGTTCCCTGTACAAACTCAGTAAGATTGGGTGATGATACCATACCCTCATATCCTATTGACCAGAACCGTATCACGTGGCCTTTACAGCGACAGCTGAGATTGGAAGAGAGACTGTTAAAATAGACTCTTTGCAACCTCAAACTGTCTGATTTCTGTTAGCAAGGAAGAAGCAAGGAATAGATACAGGATAGACAACCAACACTGAATCAATGGATATAAATACCCAATTAGTGGTAATTATTACTTCACTAAAAACAAACAAAAAACCGTTTGTAATTAGTTCCCTTTGTCTTCTTGAACCTCCCCTCCTACATTACTGACTTTTTCTTTTCGGTTCCCTTTATTGCTTCCTATTTTCTCAACTAGACTACTAATGTTTGTGCTCCCCAGAGCTTTGTCACATTTTATGTGTTTGGCCAGGGTGATCTTATTGATCTTAAGGCTTCCCATGCTGCTGACTGCCAAACTTGCACCTCTAGACTATATCTCTGAAGGTGAGAGTGAGATCTGGGGCTAGAGAAAATGTACAAAGGACTGTGATAACAAGGTGGCCTCCTGAGTACTTGACTGATATACTCAGTTGGATTTCTCTTCTAGATGTGCCACAGGCTTACCAGACCCAGATTAGAAAGCAGTAAAGGGGAGTATAAACAAAAGCCCTGGGTTCTAGGCCCTACTGTGCAGCTGTGTGATCTTTAGTAAGTCATTTCCTTCTCTGGGATCTCACTTTGTCCTCATCTAGAAAATGTAGTGTTTGACCTATAGCAGTGTTTCTTCAAAGGAACACTGTTGTCCTTTGAGGCAAGATAATTGTTCATCATTTGGAACTGTCCTGTGAGTTGCACAAAATTTAACATCCCTGGCACTCAGACAGTAAATGTCAGTAGCAATGTCCCATTGTGATGACCAAAAATGCCCTACATATTTACAAGTACCCCTTGGTTGAGACCTACTGAGCTCTAGATGGTCTTTAAAATCTCTCCTAGTTTTGCAGTTTTGTGACTTCCTGGAACACATTCAAGGTTTTCAACTGTTTGTCAGGGTATCCATGGATAACTGTACACAGTAGTGATTCTCAGTGAGGGATGGTGGTGGGCAGGATTGTGATATCAGACTGTCTGGAAGAAAAAGAGGATTGTAGTAATTGAACTACATGTACACTCACATACAAATACCCAGATTCTAATATACCTTCACCTGACCCTTCTGCCCTTTGTGTCCCCACGTGGGCCCCAGTTGAGAATCACTGTGTGTGATGATGAGAATGAGCCAAGTGAATATTATGGAATTAGAATAAACAATAGGCATATGGAATAACATTCTCTTTAAATGCAATAGTTTTTCTTCCAAACCTGTTTTTTATTCTCCTGTATTTATTTTATATCCATATACCAAGAAACTGGAACTAGAAACTTAGAAACGATCCTTAATTCTTCTCTCTTATATCTAGTTTTCAATTCTGTCTCCTAAAAATCCTTTTTGCCCTTAACATCTCCCACTTTAAATTCAAAATCTTGTTGAGGGCTTCCCTGGTGGCGCAGTGGTTAAGAATGCGCCTGCCAATGCAGGGGACATGGGTCTGAGCCCTGGTCCGGGAAGGTCCTGCATGTCGCGGAGCAACTAAGCCTGTGCGCCACAACTACTGAGCCTGCGCTCTAGAGCCTGCGGGCCACAACTACTGAAGCCCGCACACTTAGAGCCTGTGCTCTGCAACAAGAGAAGCCACAGCAATGAGCAGCCCACGCACCGCAATCAAGAGTAGCCCCCGCTTGCCCCAACTAGAGGAAGCCCTTGTGCAGCAACAAAGACCCAACTCAGCCAAAAATAAATAAATAAGTAAATTTATTTTAAAAAAAAATCTTGTTGAATTTAGACCAGTGCCATGGTCTGTTAACTTGTCTCTGTGCCCTTGGCATCCCCTGTCATTCCAGCCTCCACACTTACGCCAGAGAAATAACTCTTTAAAAAAAAAAAGAAAATCTACTCAGGTCACCTCCCTGCCTGAGGAAACCACTTCCCTTAGTGGTTTCAAATTACCTTTTGATAAAGACATTTCTTTACGGTACCCAAGGCCCTCTTGTGACCTGGTACCTGCTTGCCCTGCTGCTCTTCTTATTTACATTCCATGCAGTGTCAACCACTCACAATTTCCCAAAGATGTTGTGTTCTGTCATACCTCTGTACCTTTGCTTATGCTGTCCTGTCTGCCTTGAACGGCTTTTTTCTCTTGTCTTGGAGGCAATATAGTATAGTAATTAAGAACACAGACTCGAGCCAAACTACCTGTGTTAAAATCCTGGCTCTGCCACTTAAACTACCTGTGTGACCTTGGACAAGTTAACCTCTCTGTGTCTTTCCTCATCTATAAAATGGGATTAATAATAATATCTATTTTATAAGGTAGTTATGAAGTTCGAGTGAGTCGATGTATGTAAAGTGCTTGGAACAGAGCCTGGCACATACTAAATACTATGTAAGTGTTTGCTGTTATCAGCTACTTTATGAAATCCTTTGTTCGCATGACCTAGTCAAGAGTTTCCTCTGCTATAAGGTCTTTCCTAACCACCCTCTGTCCCCCAGATACAGAGCCAATCTAATCTCTCCCTTCTCTAAGCCATCCCTATATCTTAACATGCCTCTACCATCGCACTTACTTGTGCTATATAATAAGTGTTTCTTTACATGCCTGTGTCCCGCTACACTCTCAGCTTCTTGAAAGACTATGTCTTATTGGTTTTGTGGCCCCAGTAGCTGACATGGGGCTTGGCATATAGAAGACCATGGTGCATTTTTCTGAATGACGAAATGGTTAGTTTTTGGTTTTTGGTTTTTGGCTGCACCCTGCGGCATGCTGAATGACCAAATGAATTAAACTCTAAAAGCCTTGGCATGGCATGTGAGACCCTTTCTATTGTTCTGTCTGAGGTGCCATCTCACCTCATCTCTTATAGCTCCCCGTTCACGGGAATGCATTCCAGCCACACCCCATTTCCTGCTCTTCTCTATCTAAGCTATTCTCTTTCATGTCTCCAGGGCTTTGACTTGATGTTGGTCCCCTTTCCTGCATCTTTTACAGAGTGAATTCCTACCCATTTGTCATCCCGCTCAAGTGAATCTTAGATTGTTTCATGAGTACAGGGACCTTGGGCATTTCATTTACCTCTCCATCCTTGGACCTGTCACAGTGCTTGGCACATACTAAGTGGTCAATAAATATTTGTTAAATAAGTGAATGATGAAATGCTTCCTGGGTCCTTTGTGGGGAATTAATCTTTCCCTCTTCGATACTCTCTTGGCACTTGGTTCAAATATCTGTTGTAGCACTTACCTTACTGTATTGTAATTATCTGATTACCTGTAGTTTCCCCAATCTATTATGAACTGTTAGGACTGGGACTGCAGTCTCTTATGTTCTGATTCTGCTTGAAGACCTAACACAGTGCCTGCTACATTGTATGTAAAAATTTTTTGAATAAACAATAATCATTATTTGGGGATGCCCTTGCTGGGTCTGGATAGTAAGCTACTCCACCAATGTTACTGTGAAACAACTTTATGCTCAGTACTGTGCTAGGTACTTTAGGGAACATAAGAAAAATTTAAGATAAAAGTATGAGCCTTAAAATAAAAAGAACCCACCTGCCAATACAGGGGACATGGGTTCGAGCCCTGGTCCGGGAAGATCCCACATGCCGCGGAGCAACTAAGCCCGTGCACCACAACTACTGAAGCCTGCACGCTCTAGGGCCCGCGAGCCACAACTCCCGAGCCTGTGTGCTGCAACTGCTGAAGCCTGCGTGCCTAGAGCCAGTGCTCCGCAACAAGAGAAGCCACTGCAATGAGAAGCCTGCGTACCGCGATAAAGAGTAGCCCCCACTTGCTGCAACTAGAGAAAGCCCACATGCAGCAACAAACACCCAACGCAGACCAAAAAAAGAGTTAAGAGAGGAAAGAGCTCAGCATCTGTTTTAGTGGTCAGAGCACCTTAAAGAGATGGAAAGATTTGGCTAGGTAGAGGGAAGTAGCGACATATAACCATTCAGTAAGTGGTACTTGCTGTTCTCTTTCGTTTATGCATGCACACATGCTTACTTTCCTGTGTATACAATGGCAAATTAAAAACAAGTTGAGTTAAATATGAATTCTAGAGAGTTAACTAGGTCCACGTTCTGCCAAGTGACTATTCTCACACACCACTATCATGTTTTAATGACAAGAATCTGCTGAATATTCAAGCCTCAATTTCCTCATCAGTAACATCAGAAATAATATTTAACCTGCAGGGTTGTTATGAGGGCTAAATAAATAAATGCATATTGAAAGGGCTAAGCATTGTGCCTGGCACACAATAAAAGCTAATAAATAGTTCCCTCTTTTCTTGTATGGAAAAAAAGAGGCTGTGTAGTAAAACTAGAGCTGAGAATGATGATGATGATGATAGTACTAATGATTCCTGCTTACATTTATTGAGCCCATTTCTGTGGGCCAGGCATTGTGCTAAGTGCTTTACATATATTAACTCTTTAACTTCTAATAATAGCTCTGTGAAATGGATGGTTTTATCATTTATATTTTACAGAGGAAGAATCTAAGGCACAGAGAGATTAAGTAGCTTGTCCAAAGTTATGAAGCTTTCAGTGGCAGAACTGGGATTTGAACTAGAAAATCTGGTTCCACAGTCTGTGAACTAAAG